CGGCCTTGGAATATTCCAAAAAGAATGAAAATCTGGAGTTATTTTGCTTCACAATTGGTGGTTTGAAGATAATATTCTTAGCGATTGAAGAGAATCCCAAAACATTTAAATTTTCTTCATAATATTTTTCAGTGGGTGTAACATTAACCACCATGGCAATTTTCTCCTTTCCTAACAGTGGAGCTTGCAACAACATCGTGAGTTTCGATTCTCGGTAAGGAATAACCTCAGTATTCTTCTTACGATTTAAATTATTAGCAGCATCAAGACAGCGACCCAGAATCATCAACGATGTATTGATACGTTGTGCTTCCTTAAGTCGTGAACCAACATTCCCAGTTTTGTCAAGACGTTCAGAACCAGCCAAGTCACAGAATTTATAAGATATCTTCAAATACAAAACAAAAAAATAATGGATAAAATCATTTGAATGATAGTAAAATAATAAAATAACTTACTTCTGTTATCAAACCTGATGCATTGTACTTTAGCACGTCAATGATGAATATACAATGCGACCGGCTGGAGTTTGAATTGATGGAAGTAGAGGCGTAAGTGACACGTTGTAAGCCAAAGCGCAGCAATTTTAAGGCTTCCAAGCTATTCTTCACATAAACTTGTGTTAATCCTTTCACGAAAACTTTTCCGTCGTTGCTAACAATTTTAAGATTCTTACGAGACGGCACTGTAATTGTTTGATTAGATGCTGATAATTCCAGTAAATCATAGACAAATTCGTTATAAATTTCAACGAATGACACCCAAATCATAACAGACACATCATCGAAAACTGTGGTTTCAAAATTATGATCTGAGCATATGATTTGTTGGAGTTGCTTATGTACTGAGGTTATATCTCCGCAAGCTGTGAGTACTTGACGAGTTGAAATTATTTCCTTGGCTAAAAGTTCATCATCTAAAATAACTACGCGAGCATTTTGTAATTTAACTGCTGGGTGCGGATATATATTGGAATTGTATAATGTGAAAATATTCTCAATGGAACGCGGCACAATACCAGGATTAACGTCATCGCCTACAGAAACAATTATTTTTATACAAATCATATAATTTTACTTTAATTGAAGTTTACCTAAAAGTGTAAAAGTCTTTCCGGAACCAGATGTACCATAAGTCAGCACTGTGAAACTTTCCTCCAATTTTATTTTGTCACCTATACACTTATTGTATACGCCCTTTTGACTATCATTATTATCGAATATTGCGCTGAAGGTAAAATGTTTTTCCATTGCTGCTTTATTGTTACTTGTCGTTGTTTGATCTAAACGTGGGTTCACCACAAGAGTATTTCCATTGCCTGCAATTTTATATGACGATGAAGGAGAATTAACAGGACGCAGTCGTAGATACACCATGGCCCCATCTTCTCCAATAGTACTTGTTTTCGATATGTCACCACTTACAGTACTAGCATCATCAAAATTTGAATTACTATCATCATCTAATTCATCTATATTATCTATATCAATTGCTTTGAATATATTCTTCGGACATGGACGAAATCGGCGATCTATGCTTGGCTCGCGTCCATTAATGAACGAGAGCACGTTGCGTTTAGTTGTGTCTTCGTTTCTGGACATTTTTTCTTTATTATAACAAACAAAAACATAAAAAACAATAACACAAAAATACTTCGAAGCACTAAATTTAAGTTTGTTTAAGTATCGTTTATTTCTCCAGGAAAATTAACAAACTTGCTTCCAAACAATATTGGTTAAAATGGTAGCTTTGTCTACAGTTAATGAATGATTTTTAAAATGTCCGCGGCGATAGCGAAATCAATATTATCCAATGTACAATGAGAGCCGCTGTAAGATTTGTAAGCGATGCTGTGTTTATAAAATTAAATTTATTTAAAATTTAAATATTGTGTAGCGTAACATTATTCGGCTAAATGATTAAAATATTAAAGCTAAAAATGTGTGCCAAATACAATGTATAATGTCTCAGTATTTAACATAGCAAAATAACATGTCTTCGAACGTAACGATTAATTAAACTCGGATTGTCGAATCATCGAATTAAAAATAAAAATAACGAGATTATATAAATATTTAAAGTAGTATAAATTGTACAAGTAAAATTCAATGAATAATTCGGGCCTGATATATACTGAAATAATTTATATACATACAACAGCTGATTGAGAGCAATAACATAGCAAAGCGAAGCGAAAAACGTGGATATACATATGACATCAGCTGATTGAGAGTAATAAGATCGCAAAGAAAATTAACATCGGAATAAGAATTTTTACATCGCGTTCAGATTAATATTCTTACTTATATTTTATATAATGTTTTGTATATATTAAAAACGATTTGATTTCTTGAATATATGTGAACATATTTTTTTTTGTATGTGTGTGTATTAGTACTTCGTCTTCCGTTTTTGTTTATTTCATTCTTATTAAATACGCAGGTTTGATTGGTTGTGCATTTCGCTTCGAATTAATTTCTTACGTTATCTACCGTCTAACTGAACCTTTACTCGTATATTTTAATTCAAGTAAAATTTGTGTTCATGTATGAGTCAGCTGTTTTGGTTTGAATTTATTTTGTATTGTTTATTTGCGAGGCACTGGTGTTCTCACCGGACTTTACACAAAAGATGTTCCATGAAAATCTGTTTAAAGAGTGAAATTTGGCATATTATTTGTGTTACGCGAAGATATACAAAGACAACATTTACACAAAACAAATTGTTCCAATGTAAGACTATAGTCTTACATTATCTTTAGGTCTTTAGACGTGGTCGACAAGTCGGTAAAGTGTATGTTATATGTATTTTATGTGCATTTGTTTTTGAGAGGTCATAATATTGCCGTCTCATCGAATTACCGAGAGGCGTTCAGACGCTTTTATCATTCTCGCTCTATAACCGTGGCTTTCGTGACCCCGATCACAGAATCTACAATTAAACTATACCACTCCCTTCATCTACCATCCTTCCCCTTGTACCGCCTGCATATCTTCTTGCTTAAATAAACGTGGATTTCTAAATGCTAAACCTTTTTATATAACTTCTTATCCCTAAATGCTGGAAGAAGTTCTATACCTAGCCCTCCGGAATAGTGATTCCGGAGGGCTAGGAATCTACATTCATTCCGTAAATCTAATTCTACTGGGTTAAAATGCCACGCTATGGTTATCGATGCTTTCCACCTAAAGCAAAAAAAAAGCAAACGAAATTAACTTCTTTGATAGTTTCACTTTATAATTTTACCGAGAAAGATTTATAAATGGATGTTTAGGTGATTCTCAATTTATCACTGTACGAAATGCTGAATAACCGAGAATTATCTGAATAACCTTGTCATATTTATTTAATAAACATGAATTATTTATGTTACTACCAAACCACGTTTTGCTTATATCTTCAGAAAAATGTTTATACACAGACTATCTTAAAAATTAATTTTACCCTGGAGACTTTGTTCGTCTGGTCTGTCCTTTTAAAGGGCTTAGCAATACTGAATGCTTTCGAATGTTTAACTTTAACGTGAAAATTTAATTTTTAAAGAGCATTGAAACTATTCAACTAATTTGCATATTAACGCGGTGTTAATTGTTTTTAATTACACTAATTCCTTTAGTTCCGCAAAATGCTAATGTATGTCTGTTTTCACACCTGTGGGAGAAGTAATTCGCATTAGGAGTCCTACGGAAAGCGTATAAAAGGAGTTGTGCGAACTGAATCCATTTCAGTTCTATTTCAATTGTTAAACTAATTTTTAATCGCAAAATGTTGGGTTTCGGTAAAGAAAATAATAAAAGTAATAAGAAAAGTGTCAGTTTATCTCTGCCAAATCCGCATTTTTTCTTAACAATACCGAAACACCGTGGCAGTCTTGCTTCTGAGGCTTTATCGGATGTTCCAAGTGATATTATTATAAAATCGCGTATCAAATATGGAAGCCGTTGGTCTGCTTGCAAAGGTTTACTCATGGAGTACTCCAAAAGTACTACAATACATGGTATACGTTACATTTTTGAAGTTCATCGTCCATTTTATGAGAAGTAGGTCAACGCTTAGTGAGAATATCGGCTATATATATATATATGAAGAGATTACAAAATAAGTGAACTTAATTTTTAAATTTTAGATTATATTGGTTTTTCTTGATTTCTATATCTCTGTATTATGCTGTTTCGCTTATGTGGGATACTTATTTGAAATGGCAAGATTCTCCAGTTATATTGGGTTTTGATGAAACTCTGGTGCCAGTACATAAAATACCATTTCCTACAATTACAGTTTGTCCTGAAATAAAAACGGATGCGAATACATTTAATTTTGCAAACGTCTCAAAAAAATTTTGGGATGAAATTGCTGAAACTAATTCATTTCATAATCAACAAAATCTCACAGACGAAGAGTAAGTACTTTTATTGGAGAATATATTTTTTATTTAAATTGTTTCCAGAGTAAGAAATAAGTAACTAATTTTGTTGGGGTTACGATTGGAAAAAAAAACGTTGAAAATTCCTTATAATTAATAAAAATAATTTAGCATGGACTGTTTATGGGAGTTTAGTTGTAGTTGTAGGCTAGTAAATATCCTTCCACTATCCTTAAAAAGTCCCTTCAAAAAGAAAAATGAGTTTTTTCGTCGTTACCGAAAGTCAGACAAGCTACAATTTTTTCAACTTTACAAAAAATCTGTATATTCTGGAGGTAAAAGTAGAATAGTCATAGAGAAGATAGTTCCTGATTTATTCTTTTTCCTGTAAGTTTTAACGACTTCTACAATGAGTACGAGTGTTAGTAGGAATGCGCAGTTTCTCTTTGTGGATTTTATTGCACCAGTGAACAGAGAGGGCTGCAAGTAGCCCATCAGTATTACTTTGATCATTTTTAAATATAATTTTCATAACAAAAGAAAATATTTTGAAATGACGGTTCACTTTGATTAAAAACTAACTTTTGAGTAATTAAATAATAATTTTTAATTAATTAATATTTCGAAAATGACGTTCTAGAATTAAAAAAAACCTACTAGTCAATATAATTTTAGATCATTGATGGTTTCAGCTGATTTAAAAATAATAAAAATATATTTTAAAAATATAAAAATATAATTTAAAAATATAATTTTTACCGAGTGACAAAAAGAAGTACCATGTAGCATATTTGTTGTCAGGATATATTCTGTCACTTTTTGAGTTTCATTTTTACATCTTTATATAGGACAGTGTTAAAATTAGAAAGGATTTCTTATTCTTCTATATTTGTAGTCGGGATAATCGCATCGTCTTTGTCAGTAGATCCACTCAGAAATAGATCTCCTATTGTTTATGTATTTGAGATTCAATTTTACCTCTTTATATGGAACAGTGTCAAAATTAGAAAGGATTCTTATTCTTCTATATTTGTAGTGGGGTTAATCGCATCGTCTTTGTCGGTAGACGAACTCTGGAATGGGTCCCCTGTTATTTATGTATTTGAAATTCAATTTTACCTCTTTATATAGGACAGTGTCAAAATTAGGAAGGATTTCTTATTCTTCAATATTTGTAGTCAGGATAATCGTATCATATAATATTTGTCGGTAAATGAAGTCAGGAATGGGTCTCCTGTTGTTTATGTATTTAAAAGTGTATAGAATATAGAATATATTCTATAGAAATATAGAAATATAGAATATAGAAATGAATAGATGCGACTGGGTGGAAATTGTAGTGAATGATATTAATATTACTTATTATATATTATCGCAGCTGCAAATTTATAATTATACAATATATCATTTGTTTAACATATCATAATGTATTTAGGTTTTTATTTTATATTTATTTTTAGTTTTTGCATTTCTAGACTTAACTCAAGAAATGTGCATTACCGCATGTGCTGTTTTTTATACAAAATTCATACAAAAATACATCAATAAATTAAATATTAAATTCTTATTTCTTTCATTTAATTAATGTCAAATATTGTTATTGTTCTATATATTTAATAATAAAACAATTTTAAATTTAATTTCTTAAACAATAGAATTTTGAATTTAGCTGCTACTTTACATATCTGCGACACCAAAGTAGCCGAATCTTTTGCTCCATTTGTGCCAAAAGACATTTTACCGGATGTATCGCAAACACTGGTTGATTTATCCATAACAAAAAATGAAACCGGCCCGTTTTGTAAATGGAATGGAAGATTCTATTTTTGTGATAAAATTTTTAATTTTGTACCAACGGATGAGGGTATTTGCTATCAATTCAATGGCTTGCAAGCAAAGGATATATATCGCGATGAAAGGTACTTGCCCTTAAATATTTTAACAATTTAAAATTTCAATATATAAATGAATAATAGATTTGTAAGTTATCGAGACCCAGAAATAGTCGATTTTAACAATTACTTCGATCCATTGCCCAAATACAATAACTTATCTGGAAATTGGTCACTAGATGATGGTTACATAGATCAGGGATACAATTCTTATCCACAACGCACTGCTTTCTCTTCTGTTCGTAATGCATTTTTTGCGTTCCTTCAAGGCTATGAACATAATTTTGATTACGCATGCCGTAGTTTTAGGCAGGGCTACAAGGTTTGTATCTGCGCATACGTAGGTGTTAAGTATAACATAATAAATTTTATTTTAAAACAAATAATTTGAATTCAGGTGTTCCTTAATTCTCCCGAGAGTGTGCCACTTACTATGGGCAACTACATTTTAGTGCCGCATGGAGATGAGGTCATGGTTAGTGTGCTGCCCCAATATGTTGT